AAAGCTGAATCTAATACAGTAGACCTTATCAAAATGTTAATATGATAATTTAAACTATTACAAGACAAATATCTTATAAGATCTGTAGCTACATACGTGTTTATGTAGTCAGTTGAAGACATGTTCACATCATGAGGACATTTTTAAAATGGACTCTGGATGTTCATTTTTAAATTCCACGTGCTCAAGTTGGATCAGTTTCAACTTATTTTAATCTCTTTCTTTGAAAATATTTTGAAAGTTCTTCAATAATTCTCATCCATAAGTAATAACTTTTGAAATGATTGAAAAAAAAGTAAGTATCTTAAGTGTTCACTTCTGAAGGGGGAAGCACGTTTAATGAACTGTTATTGACCAGGAATTTTTTTCCCATTTATGAATATATATTTTTTCAGAGGCAAAAGTATTTACGCACATAAACAAATTTTTTTTCCTGTTAATCGTGATTTATTTGTGTTTATATCTGTTTGTAATATGAATTGCAAATTTATGATATAAACTTTTTAGGTCTTGTTTTATTTTACAGCTAGTATAACAGACAAGAGAGTTGTTTTCCATTTTTTTAGATACTTAAGTGATAAAACAAATTCTGAGTTTAATTCTTCAAAAAAAATTGAATAGAAGTTTAATACTTATGTTAATTCATGTTCAGGATTTGATTGTTACAATTTGAGTTGAATGTTTGTTCATTCCTAATTAAATTATATCAAAAATTAAACTAATTTCTTGTAGTAAACAAAAAAAGTTTTGCAATGAAAATATTGGGGTATACGGAGAATGCTGCTTGTCATTAAAAAGCAGTAAGTGCTGAATAACTGTTTTGTCCTAGAAGTGTTCATCCATAAAGCCATCGTGGATAGAAAACGGATCTTTAAGTGGCGCTACGAAAACCAACTAGTGACTAACTTTGAGAGGAAACGCCTGGCGCTCTGCGCAGGTCAACTTTATCAGGTGTGATGCCATCACCCACCAATATCTTGAATCGATTCAAGTCTGATATGTTAATATTAGACAGATATTAGATAAATATCAGATAAATAGCTTAAGCATTTCGCCCGAAACCTGGAACTACTGGATTTAATCGCCGTGGACCTAAATTACTGAAGAGTCCTGAACTAGAAGAAAACAGCTAACTAACGCTTTGTAATTTTCATTAGTTACCGATTTTAGGTTAGTTAGTGATCACAAAAGTAGTAATAATCGGTACGACGTTCAAGCCAACTTTGCATTTCATACCACCAGAAAGTCTCCAAAAATTATTTTACATTTAAAAAATAAGTAAACTAGTTTATTTTAAAACTTTAGTGAAATTTACATCAAACTTTTTATAGAATATTGCTTTCGTCTACATTGATGAAGGAGTATATTAAATTACCAAGTGTACTGGCCACATTATAAATTGTTTTCCAGAGAGTAAATCTAAACTCGTTGAGGTTTCCTATGAAAGTTTTCAATCTATAACTTTCTGTACAATCAAGCTACTTTTTGCGTGAAAGCATCATTAACGTATAAATACAATTAAGAATTATGCATAGTTTCATAGGTATTTTATAACAGGAAAAAGTTAAATGAGTTCATTAAAGTGGTTTTTTAAACTGCAAACAAATAACTTTAAACTCTACTAACTCCATTATTTAGATACATCCAGCTGATAAGTCCTGTAAAGTGTACGTTGTAAATTCTGTTGATAACCAGAACCCATTACTTTTATGATCAATTTTATATTTCGCATCTTCTAAAGTTCCGTATTCATTGTGTTAATGAAATTAAACAAACTTTTCATTAGTAAAAAATTCCAATTTAACGTTTCTTTATGATGTTTTTATGAGGTAAATCTTATGCGTTACCTAGTAGTCGTAAGTTAATATATCATTAGCAATTTGGTTACTTAATTGTGAAAAAATTGATTTTTTTGTTTTTCTGAGAAATGTCAATTCCCAAAATTGAATCCACAACTAGTTGAAAATTTGAAAAATATATTTGGACAAGAAGAAACGTCATCAGATAATCAAATAAATATTTTACTTTTAACATTGGTGAATTTCTAATATTTGTCACGCCATCATCAAAAATAAAATCGATGAAACATCCAGTTGAATCAATAAAAAATGAAACTAAAGATTAAGAATTTTCATGAATCTAGTTTTAGAAATGAAACTTGTCAAGTTATTCGGGTTATTTTCTGTGAAAACAATGTTGACAGCCTGTTTTTATTTTCGATATTTAATTTCCCTGGAAATTCACACTTTTCAAAAGTCAGCATTCAAACCCAAAGTTTGCTTGTATTGTGGTGTATTGCAAATATTGACAGGGTATTTATTTCAAAACAGTTTTTATCATTAGCTTAAATAGAAGTTTCCGAGCTGTAAAGCTGTAAAATCTTGTTAGAAATGCTCCAACGATTTTTATTATTGGTGTAACGCGTTCATCCCTAAAAGTTTATAAATTAATGTTTGTTGGAAGTTTTATGGTTCATAGAAATTTTGTAGTTTTATTGAATAAACTTTGTTATTCTTCTGAATGTATGATCTGTCAAACTTGGGGTCAATATTACTGTTATGAAATCTAATTCATCTATGCATTCAATTAGCTGGGTGATTGAAATGTTTGGTAAATCATCTGGGTATGAAGTACTTAGTGTAGAACTAATTTCTTTCGAACGAACAATACATCTTCAAATGTGGAATTTGTTGTTTTAGCATCAAATACGTGTACATCCTAACTATATACTTCCCGAGTCATCTGAACACAATAAACCACTGAACATGAAGTGTGTTTTACAAAAATATTTCTGTTTTCAATTTGAATCCAAAATATTTCATCATGTGCGTAACAAGACATGAACTGCATCGACTCAATTTATTTACAAAATACGATTATTGAACATTCATCAGATTTGATTTATCGAGAGTGCTTTTTGATATATTGAAGAAATCTGATCAACTGCACAAGTTCAATTAGATATGAACATGAATTCGTGATATTTATGCACTTTATTACATATGTATCAATCCTTCTGCTGTTTCGTAGTCTGTCTGTCATAGTCAACGTTAACACTGTTTTAATGCACACTTGTCATACTCAGAGTTATGAAAAATTTTATGGGGAAAAAACAAAGAAGTTATTTATACAGTTCATAATCATCTCATCAACGATGTATGGCTAAAGTTTTTTTTCATTATGACTTATAATATGTATCCTGAGATTCACACTGTTTCTTAAAACTGATTCACACTTTTAATGTGCTACAAATTACATCAATCGCCTCATATCTTATTTTGTCATTACAAATGGAAGTTGTGTAACGGAGTCAAAATCACCATGTATGATGTTGCTAACTTGTTCTGTTTTCTTTCTATGTCAGGGCGATCAAACATAAACGCTTTGGAAGCTGAAGAACAAGCCCTGAGTGCTCTGAGCTTACAGGATGACTCATAAGACTTTGGTACACTAGCCACCCTGTTTCTGTAGAAATCCCGCGTATTTAATTTTCAAGTAAAAGAGTCCCGTGGCAACCACTTCGTGTTCTCTCTTGGTGTGAGATGTTAAACTAACCTTGTGTGTTACGATTTTAGATCCTCTCCGCCCTTCAGTGATTGCTAGTTACATGTGTTACAGTTGATTTTCAATTCCAATTTACCTAAACCACTTTATTCATTCAAAGTACTGAAGAATTCACTGACGTCTTATTACAAATACATTGTTACGTATAATAAAGATTATGGAATTATTTGAATTTGAATTCAACTATATAGATGGAGTCACATCCATTCAATGCTCATTTCATTTTCAATGTGGTCTCAATAAATTTCAACCTAAAGAATGTTTAAGCTTCTAAGAAGAAGTAACTTTTTGGAGTTAATATTTTCAGTCTTTTTTTCTACGTTTGTTCAAATTCTTTCATTAATTCCGAAGACTTATATATATATATATATATATATATATATATATATGTCTCATGCTTAGAACTAATTAATATTGTTTTTCTTTGGTCTAAGATTAACGGATGAATAATCATTAGTATTAGTTAAATATGTATAAGTATCATTTACTATGGCTGATTTAACCACAAAAAAGATATTCAAGTCAGACAAATTTTCTTTTTTTAAAAAAAGGAAATATAATAATAACAATTGCCTATTTAAAAGAAAAAGAAAACGTATTTACAAGCACTAAAATTCTATTTCACTAATGATATCTACTTAACAAACGGCATACAACACTGATAAGGATATCATTTAAATATTGACCAAAAAAAATAAAACATATGACTATTGTAACAACCAAAATTTCTTGACATGATCATATCGCTACAGTTCATTGACTAAATCTTTTAAAAGCACAAATTTCAGACATTGAAAATTGTCCTAATGGAACATTTGAAATTTCCTTTTGATTACTTCTAGATAGAAATGTTAATTTAAAAAAAATTTACTTCATTTTCGAATTGTTATAATTGTTAGCCTTTTTGAAACCATTGAATGAATGATCTATGATTATAAATTGTTCACATACATGATTTATCATCAGATAATAAAATATGTTTCATGTAAGGTTTGTTTGGCTTGTGAAGTTAAGAGCTTTTAAACAGCACTGTTTTTTCCCCAATATTAGTCATTAGTGCATATCATCAATGACGAGATGAACTACTGGTATCTGTATGTTGGCCTAATAGATAAGCTCACTATAAAACTGGTAAGTTGGCTAGCTGCATCCTATAATTAATGTTATATAGTTTGTAGTAGTCGGTGTTAGTGAGCTTTTATGGCTTTGTCTATTAGAATTGGGTCCTCATTAAATCTAAATGCATATTATTTTTACCTACCAAATACCAAGAATACAATTCTATCAAGCTTGAAGTTAAGAAGAACTATTTCATGGAGTTAGCCAGCATTGGCTTAGACGTTAAATAGGAAAAGTTATGAAATTACACATACATTTATTCTTTTTATATTTTCAAAATCAGTGTACATAAAATGAATGAAATGTTTTGGACTTACCGAGCAGCAGAGGCTCCATGTTGTAAAGTAGCCGCACTAGAATGCTGAAATGAAGTATCTGGGACCAAATTACGATCAGCAAGTAAACGTGAATTGCAGCCAATTGAAACTGAAAATATAATAAATGAAAATAAACACGGTTTCTTTGGTAAACAAATTGAGGTGTATCATGCAAAATGAAGTAAACAGTTTTTGTGCAACTTCTCTTAAAGATGAATATGTAAACTGACTAATCTAAGCACAAGGATCAGAGGCTCTTTATACTCACCATGATAAAGAAAGTACAAAATCATTAATGACTTTAATCAATATACATAAAATAAGTATAAAAGCCTGGTAAATTGTTTATAGCATTTAACATTCGCCTGAGCAAAAGTTATCAAGAATATATGCTTCGATAGCATCTCCATTATTTACTTCGTCTGGAGCTCTTTGAAAGTCACTGGTGGTCCCAAGCTCCAGTGAATAAGAAGGTTTAGGAATGGTAAGCTTGACAACTTCACTTTAAACAATCATCACCAATCATATTGGAAACTCACTGGTAAGTCACTAATAGGGAATATTCGTTATTTCTATTTAATGGAATAAATTAATATTTATCAGAATAACATGATTCAGTCAATCAACACATGTAAATCACAACAAACAAGGAATTAATTAAGATGTTTGGATAAATTCAGACATTTGAGAACATCTACAGTATGGTTATTCATTCATATGAATAATCTTATTGATAGAACAGAATAATGCCTAAAGGCTTGTATAATCTGTGTAATTAGTTTAGATGCAATGCACACAAGGAATAATCTTCTCTCACACAATTTGTCTATCTCAGTCTATTCAATCTAATGCTCACCATCTGTCCGGTAAATTTTTAATTTCCTCTTTTTTCCTTCATTTCTGTACACAAATTCCTCATCACATTGTGATGAATACTTTTATGATTTGTAATAATATAAACTACAATCAAACATTATTATTATTATTATTCTCCCTAGATAATAAATAACATCAGGTCAGAATTGTGATAACATTGTCTTTTGTATTCTTTCTACAGGGAATATATATATATATATATATATATATATGCATGTAGGCTACGACATGAATTTACATATTAACGGAAATGATAAGCAATGCCATTTTGTTTAGAGTTTTTTTTTTAAATATTCCGACTGTGATAAGAAATAATTAAAGAAAAAAACACAAACACAAACATTAGAGAACTAACCCCGCAAAGTTTTTTAACACTTTCACATAAACGAACAAACCATTGTCTAATGCAAACGGATACGCTTTTCTTTTTTAAACCATAGGAGTAAAATACTTTTTGTATTAAAATAGGTAAAGCGTAATCAGCTGCAATTTTTACATAGAATGTGAATAATTTACATGAATGATAATTAGATTTGTGCTTTCAAAGTGTATTATACACGTAAGTAAAAGAAAATTATCCATGCCATTGCAACTTTGAATGAATAAATATCCTTAACAAGTTTTATAATTGATTCTTACTTGGGAAATATAAAGAAAACACTGTTTCCAGCTCAAACATATCATTATTTTCAAAATTTTTATCACAGCTGTTTAATAATTTTGGTTGATAAAGAATACTAGTAAAGATAAGGAGGGAGTTGAGTTTATGCATATGAATAAAAAAAGGAACGTACTTGTAGTTTGTTACAACAATGTTTTGTTAAACTGATCTATGCGTTTGTTTAGGATTTATAACTTAGTACAAATTCATATTTTTGTGTTCTCTCAAATCCTAATCTTCTGGATTCTTCAACATCTCTAGTTTTGACTTTCTAAACTTTTATCACTGAATCATACTTCTTGAATCCTAACCTCTCCGATTACTTCTAATACCTTTACTACCTCTTCTACTATTGGATTTGAATTGACAATTATATTTCTGTGTGCTGATGTGGTATGGCAACTTGAACTGATGTACCTACGTACGAAGTTCTACGTTGCATCTAACTGACTGACTGAAAAATTCATATTCAAATAGGATTGATTTTTGTTAAGAAGTGACTTGTGATAGTTGAATTATATAATTGTAAAACCAAATCTATTTTTTAATTCTTTACTAGTCATGAACTCTTAATACAAACTCGACGGTAAAAATAATTCTTTGCTTCAATTTTTGTGTAACTTTCGCTTGTCATATAAATTTTCAGTAATTAATAAGGATGTGTTTTTATCCTTTATCGTTTAAATGGTTATGATAAGTTTGTGTTGAATTACAAGATGATCAAAAAAACTACATTCGATATGAGGATGTGCATAAAAATTGGAAAAAAATGCAGGGCAAATAAAAACCTAAGTAATTTGGTGAACAGTTTATCATTTTTGGCGAAATTCTGCAGTGTCAATGGGGAAGGAGAAGTGACTTGGGTAGTGCGGTATGTTATCAAGAATATTTAAGAAAAATTGGAGGTGCTTCTTTTATATGCACTATTTTTAATCAATTCAAGACAAGTCAGATTAAAAAACGAGTATTACATGTAACGTTTAAACTCAAATGGGTTCCTAGTTCACACAAATGTTTGCCTGTTTATTTTCACTAGGAAAAAACTAGGATGGAATGTGTTTTATACATATTATCTATTAAAAGATTAAATGAACGGATGAACGGAGAAATCGATATAAATGTGTACAAATGACAAAGCATATTTACACATGTAAAATGAACAAAACACTACGTTTTAACATTAGTCAGTGTCTAACTGTGCTAACAATTGACAAAACGGATCTAGAATAATATTTTCCTGTGCAAACTCGATGGAGTGGTAATTAATAATACGGCTTGTTAATGATTACTATCAACAAAATAACACCAAAATTGACTGCATATAGTTTCGAATTGTATGACTAGCGGTCCCAGTGCAATTTAAATAACGAAATTCAATCACTGCAAAGTGTTAAATAAAACGGACATAAATGACTGTCAAGTAATCAATCAATGCCATAAGGAAATATTTATATTTTATTTATTATCTGTGAAAGCAATAATCATTAAACAAATGTAAAACTCGGAAAGGAATATAATAGTTATGGAGTGTTCAAAGGCCTACATAAATTGAGATAAAATGTAGAAAGCAGAATCTCAACAGAACTTCTGCCTTAGGTGCTTGATTTTGTTAGAGTATGAATGTCAAGTATGCAATTTAGGGTGTGGTTTATCGTTCGTTTACAAATTATTGTTCATATTTATAGTATACATGAAAACTTCACAATAAGAGACAACATCGAATATATATATATATATATATATATATATATATATATATATATATATAAACTAGTTCAGAGAAAACGCGATTTATACAAATCATTAATTTACAATGAAAACAACTACGCACAAACAGTTAATGATGAGTTATAGTCTTATTAATCCGTTAAGACAGGAAGGTAAATGAAAGATATCAAAATATAACAAATATTTTGTTTCACTAAAGATCTGAAAAGGAAATATAATCTTGGTTAAAAATCGAATTTTTATTCCTATTTATTTCAAAATTTTCTTATAAAATACTTGATAAGCTTTAGTTGTTCAGTTTAACCTCATTTCTATTTCGTGAATAACCTAAAAACCTTCAATGTACTAATTTGTAATGACAAGCAAAATATCTAGTTTAAAGTAAGATAGAAGGCTCTGGCTTCAACAATTCAGGGATTCAAAGAGAACGATACAGTTATAAGCAGACTGAAAATGAGATTTGATATGGCTAAATTTTATGACAGTATGAAGGTTACCCTACTTACTAAGCAGTATCAATGATATTTCCATGAGATGGTACAAACTAACCAAGTGTTTTCCTAAGACTAACATTTTAAAATTTTGCATTTAAACAAAATATTACTTAGTTGTATATTCATCTATCTGATTTCCTTGTTTGTACATTTTGTATATCATTGAATAGGCACTTTGGAATAAAAATAACTTGTTTAGATGAAAATTTATAGCTGGAATCTTTTATCTTGAAAGAAAGCTGTTAAAAAGACTCATTTCGTATATGATATCGAGACTTCTCTTAAGCATTAGATTTGAAAATAGTTAACTCGAGCATAGTCGTCTTAATAAGCTGAAAATTGTTGGGAATCGAACAAAATGAACAAAATAAACGTCTTTTGAAATAATAACTTATTTGCTTAGGATGGCTGTTGAATGTTAAGTTATTTCTAATCTGTATATCAAAATAATGTCGGACTTATGATTACAGATTTGAATCATAGTCAAAGATATTAGTAAACTAATGTTTTGTATTAGATTTTGAAAAATGACCTACATTACTTAGCAAGCAACATCCCATTCGAAAGGTAGCACTTGTGAAATCCACAAAATAGTACCATCTGTTTTTTTTTAATTTTCTAACTGTTCATAGGTTTAACGAAACTGATCAGTGAAACAGAATGACACTGAGATTATACGATCGAAATAAAGCTCAGTCAGTCAGATGCAACGTAGAACTTCGTACGTAGGTACATCAGTTCAAGTTGCCATACCACATAAGCACACAGAAATATAATTGTCAATTCAAATCCAATAGTAGAAGCGGTAGTAAAGGTATTAGAAGTAATCGGAGAGGTTAGGATTAGAAGATACTATTCAAGAAGTACGTTTCAGTGATAAAAGTTTACAAAGTCAAAACTGGAGGTGTTGAAGAATCCAGAAGATTAGGATTTGAGAGAACAGAAAGAATAAATTCACCGGCGCCGTTTGCAAACGGTTTTGAGCCATGTTATTTAGGGTCTCTAACCATCGATTATTATCATCTCGCGGACCCCAACCAGGTAGTCGATAACTTCCGACATGTCTCAGTCCACTTGTCAATGACTTCATGGATTTCTACCATGTTTCGGTTTTGCGGCACCTAACTTTCTTCCAGCCCATTCCTACACTACAAAACAAAGCTGGTCGAGACAGTAGGTGGTTAGGCATACGCAGCACATGTCTCAACCACCTCAAATGATGAAGTTTCATTACTTCATCTGTTGATCTGCCATTCTTACCTAGCGAAATAATGCTCAACAGCACTACCGAACTGTTTCATACAAATGTTTTTCACTTACGAATCTTCCAATGGTTGATTCCATTGACTT